AGACACAAGTGAGAGTATGGTGTAATGGTAGAGGAGGTACGTGCACAGCGGGAGGTTTCGGGTTCGAATCGCGTCGGCCACGTAGTCATGAAATTCACGCGAAAAATGTCGTAGATAGGTGGGCGCTGGCCGGTGGGGGCCTCCATCGATAAAAAAAATTCCATTTTTTTTGGGGTAAAAATTCCCATTTATTTCGGGTTTTTTTTGTTTCAACTTTGCCGAGTGTCGGGCACTCGGCAAAGGCTTTGCCGAGTGTCGGGCACTCGGCAAAGGCTTTGTCAAGTGTCGGGCACTCGGCAAAGGCTTTGCTGAGTGCCCGATAAAAAACGCTCGGCAAAGTTGGCTTTGCCGTCACTTTTTTTTGGCGAGTGCTGTTCGTCGAGTGTTACACTCGGCGAACCATTTGCCGAGTGTTTTATGTCTTTTGCCGAGTGTTTCGGACACTCAGCAAACTCAAGGAGTCCGGTAGTGTCTAGTCCCGATTCCCCACCCGGGAGTAAGCATCCGGGACTAAAGGGAGGTCCTTTAGTCCTGGGTCAGGAACCGGGACTAAATGGGGACCTTTAGTCCCGGTGGGTAACACCAACCGGGACTAAAGGTCCTCCCAGCTTTAAAAAGAATAATGCCTCCCACCGCTGCGTCCCGTGAGATTTGAACCCAAGACCACATGCATTGCCTTGCGCGTAGCTTACCACCCCACCTACACAACACATCTAACAATGGATGTGATGCTTCCCTTTTAAACTAACCCATCGGGGGATCTTTAGTCCGGGTTGGTGTTACCAACCGGGACTAAAGGGACCAACCGGGACTAAAGGTTGAGGACTTTTAGTCCCGGTTGGTGGCTCTAACCGGGAGTAAAGGTTTACCTTTAGTCCCGGTTGGTGTCTCCAACCGGAACTAAAGGTCGCTCTGCACAGTGGCAGAGGACCTTTAGTCCCGGTTGGAGACACCAACCAGAACTAAAGGTATTTCTAGTCCCGGGCGCAAAAAATGCTGGGACTAGAGCCCATTTTAGTATCGGATGAAAGGTCTGTTCTCTACTAGTGACTGCAATTCATGGATACTGTAGGAGTGCTTGGTGCACATGTACCATGCACCATCATGAATTGGTCGATACAACACCAAGAAGCTTCTTTAATTAAGCTAAAAAAACGTGGGCTTTGTGTATGTGTTTATCGCTAAGTGCGCGCAAGCGGCTCGACTGTTGTGCAGGTGTGTTAGTATGTCACAGCTTTGTATGAATTCCTATTCTTTTTAACCGAGCGGCAGAGCTTTTCTATTTTTTAAGAAAAAAAATCTAAAAAAACTATAAGTGTGTTGCTGTTGGCCATTGTAGCTCCAATGTTTGTATTAGTATTATTTTACTTGGATCATATCATACAGCCCTCTGCACTGTTTGTCTGTCTTTAACTGCATGCAGCAGCAAGTATAGGACAGAACGGCATATGCATAATTATTGGGTATATCGGAGTACATATGAAAGTCAAGGGCTAGCTAAGCTAGTTAGAAACACATGTATAATTATTGCAATCGAATTTACAGTCTCTTGAAGCCAGAGGATGGATACGTAGTGTGTACCAAACCAAGATTTATGCGTGTACTCGTCTGTGCAAGTGACACTGTAACTACACAGTGTATGTATATCCATCCGTTTGTATTGTACGTACATATGCAGCATGCAATGCACTGTAACTATAAATGTGTGTGTACATGGAATGGAGACAAAGACAAGTAGCTGTATACAATCCTCTCGAAATAAAAAGGATAATAAAGCTAGCTATGCGTACAAGATCTGACGCGTTCAATGTGTCAGGTATAGAAATGGGGTTGTTGTACGTATGTCACTGTGTATGATCATGAATATTGCCCGCTGTATTTCTATTTACACGCCTCTCTGTGTAGCTAGTGTAGTGTGTACATGAACATGGATGCATGCATGACCTTCTTCTCCTTGCATTGCATGCATGCACTGTTGGTGTGTTGCCATTGCCATGAGAGATCCACATCAAGGAACAGTTGACTCTCACACACCATGCCATTGCCCATTGCCTCTCTCTCTCTCTCTCTCTCTCTCTCCATGTAGTTAGTTGTAGACAGGTGCCCTGCATGGTATAGTAGTAGTAGTATGTAGAGAGCACGCAGCAGCTGCAGGGCCTAGACAGAGGTAGTGATATATGCAGTACCTGTACAAGTATAACTCTCACATGTACATGCATGTAGAGACATGGATGGATGGCTTTTTCAGAAAAGAAAGCCTCGCCGTATGTATGCACGCTTTGAATTGGATCCTCAGGCTCATCAGGCCTCAACAGATCAGATCACTTGGATAAGGAGGCCCTGTACAGTGCCACAACTGTTGTGAAGTGACTGCTTGTGCAGTGAGTATTTGCCCTACACTATCGGAAACCGGCACTTTGCCCATTGCCGGAGGCTTTGCTGAGTGTATTTTATCGGGCACTCGACAAAGATGGTCTTTGTCGAGTGCTAAATAAAATGCACTCGGCAAAAAAAAATACTCGACAAAGATGGCTTTACCGAGTGTTTTTTTCGGCACTCGGCAAAGATGTATTTTGCCGAGTGCCATTTTTCAGTACTCGGCAAAATGCGTCTTTGCCGAGTGCCTTTTTTCTGGCACTCGGCAAAGATGCATTTTGCCGAGTGCTATTTTTTTGGCACTCGGCAAAATGCATCTTTGCCGAGTGCCTTTGTTTTGGCACTCGGCAAAGAAGCATTTTGCTGTATGCATTTTTTTTTGCCCTCGGCAAATTATTTTTTCAAAGCAATTTTTGAGGCCCTAAATGAATTCAAATAAAAAACTTTTCAACTACAAAGTTGTATAACTTCTCAAGATCTACAAAGTTTATTTTAGTCATTTCTTCATTTGACAAAGCGACAATAACGTTGTTCATAAAATCTACACCTCTATCATATCTCTCATATTAGTTTCATGAAAGTAGAAGAGAGATATATGAGATTTGTAAACAATGTTACTACCACTATATCGGATGAACAAATAACCAAAATAAACTTTGTAGATCTTGAGAAGTTATGAAATTTTGTAGTTGGCAACATTTTGATTTGAAATAATCTTGTCATGCAAAAACGACGTTTGAATTTGAAAATTTTAAAATTTGAAATTTTCAAAAGACTTCGGATGGAAAAACTTCCTAAATGAAAATTGTAGTTCTCCAAAAGTTATGAAACTATGTAGTTGACAACTTTTTGATTTGAAATCATCTTATCAAGCAAAACTACGTTTGAATCTCTCAAATTTGAAATTTGAATTTTTCAAACGACCTCGGATGGAAAAACTTCCTAAATGAAAATTGTAGATCTCGGAAAGTTATGAAACTTTGTAGTTGACCACTTTTTGATTTAAATTCGTTTAGGGCCTCAAACAAGCAATTTACTCTCGATTTAGTATAATATATGATGATAGATAACGGAATCTAGATACAAGTGACGGTGTGGTGCAGTGGTAGACCAGCAGACACGCGAGGGAGAGGTCGTGAGTTTGAATCCCGCCGGCCACGTTAGCCGCAAATTTTGCGCAAAAAATGCAGCGACTTCGATTAAGACGGGCGGGCGCTGGCCGGTGGCGGCCTCCCCCGAAAAATTTTTTTTGCTATTATTTTTGGGTTTTTTCACATTTGCATTTTACCGAGTGTAAATCTTTATCAAGTGCTTTTCCGGCACTCGGCAAAGGCTTTGCCGAGTGCCTGACAAAAAGCACTCGACAAAGGCTTCTTTGTCGATTAATTTTTTGCCGAGTGCTCTTTGCCAAGTGCCTTTGCCGAGTGTATTTCGGGCTTTGGCGAGTGCCGCAGGCACTCGGCGAAGAGAGGGTCTCCGGTAGTGCTAGCTAGCACAACAAAAGTGGCTCTACTAATACCTACATCCTACTATCAAACACACAGTGACACTATACTACTACTGCAAGCAGGGCACCAATGGCGACAAAGGTGGTGGATGCAAATGAGCATATTACTTTCCTCTTTTCCTTTATACAAAAGGAAGGATGTACTCCTTCTGTTAGCAATGTATGGTGCTTTATTAGACATTGATATCGTTTTTAGTAGTAGTAGGCAATGTTGATATATATAGCTGTCTTTTTTATATAACCATAGATCCATAGTAATACAAAAAATACATACCCCTCCATCAAGAAATATAAGGTACGGTGTATTTTGAATGCTGAGAAGGAAAAGTAAAAAAAATTACCAACGATTCCTCAAATTATATGTAAGTTTAGGACGGCACTTGCATTAATAGATTTGTATTCAAAATGCCTCCGAAGTGATATTGATTATTTTAAGGGCCAAAATGTATTTTTATATGACCTTTTTCCCTAATCAAAATACACCTTACATCCGTAAACAAATGGAGTATATTATTAGAGAGACGTCCTCTGATGTTTACCTTTTTCTATAAACAGGAGGGTTTATTTCCCCCTCACTGATTCCTTGATGATCTTTACTTTTGCAAGGACAACACAACATTGTAGAGAGAGAGAATGTGTGTGTAGGTACACAGATCCCTATGAGCTGAGGCATGTGTGAAGAGAATGTTATCTATCCATCCAAGTCCAACCATTTCTCCCTCTCTCTCCCTTTCTTTTTAATTTTTTTTCTGGGGTTGGATGCAGCATGTTGTGTGTGTGTGTGTGTGTGTGTGTAAATGTGGGAGAGATAGGGAGCAAGTCTCATTCCTTTTGCTGGACGACTCCTTTAAAGCCATGCGCGCGCGCACAACGCAAGCGCAAGCACAAGCACACTTGCCCACCTTCTTCTCCGCTTCACACCTCGCCGGCTGCTAGCAAGTGAACCCCGCCACCGCGGCCGGACCTCATCTCATCGCGTGCGGCCATGGCCATCACACCGCGCGCCCCCCAATGATTGATCCACTCCGATCGCCATTGCCACCAGCAGCAGCTTAATCCGGTCCGATTCATTAGTTGCTTCTGTTAGTAGTTTTGTTTTAGCTTCACACAACTAACAATGACCAACAACAACGGCAATGGCACGAACGCGGCGGCGAGCAGCTGGCTAGGCTTCTCGCTGTCGCCTCACATGGCCTCCGCCATGGACGAGCACCACCAGCAGCAGCAGCAGGTTCAGCAGCAGCACCATGGCCTCTTCTTCCCTTCCGTCACTGCGGCCGCCTACGGCCTCGGCGGCGGCGACGGTGGCGTGGCCACCAGCGCGTCGTCGTACTACACGCCGCAGCTGGCGTCCATGCCGCTCAAGTCCGACGGCTCCCTCTGCATCATGGAGGCGCTCCAGAGGAGCGATCAGCAAGATCACCACGGTACGTATGCAATCTAGCTACGCAGCTGAGCTGATGGCCGGCCGGCGTCGGTCCGTTTCGCTCTTGGTTTGATATATTACTTGGCGTCGGCCGTCGATCGATCGGCGTTATTATTCATCGATCCAGGGCCGAAGCTGGAGGACTTCCTGGGCGCGGCGGCGCAGTCGCAGGCCATGGCGCTGAGCCTGCAGGACAACCCCGCGGCCGCCGCCTCCAGCTTCTACTACTACGGCAACGGCGGCGGCGGCGGTTCGGGGCACCAGCACCACGGGGGGTTCCTGCAGCCGTGCGCCGACCTGTACGGCGGGCCCTCGGCCGCGTCCCTGGTGGCGGACGACGAGGCCGAGGCCGCGGCCGCCGCGACGGCGATGGCGAGCTGGGTGGCGGCGCGCGCCGAGAGCGGCGGCGTGCTGTCCGCCGCCGCCGCGGGGCACCACCCGCACCACTACCACGCGCTGGCTCTGTCCATGAGCTCCGGGTCGCTGTCGAGCTGCGTGACCGCGCACCCCGGCGCCGAGTACGCCGGCGTGGTGGCGGGGTCCGCGGCGGCCGCATCGCTGGACGGCGGGCGCAAGCGCGGCGGCGCGGCGGGGCAGAAGCAGCCCGTGCAGCACCGCAAGTCCATCGACACGTTCGGGCAGAGGACGTCGCAGTACCGCGGCGTCACCAGGTACACACACCACCGCACCCTCCGCTCCGTCTGTTCCGTTTCCGTCCCGTCATGTGCTTGCGTTAGTTAATCACGCACGTTTAGCATGTGGTTGCATCATTAACGAACTAAATATCTAATCACAAAAAAACTAATGGCGCTTAGAACTACATCTGCTTAGGTTATTATTAGCACCGTCGAGCAGATTAATTAACCTAGTATTTTCGAAAGAACTAACCACACGTACACGTGCGCACACTCACCTACGGTATAAATCAAATCAAACAATCCGCTCCGATCCATATGTGTATACATATCACGCGTGTACAAATAAAACCGCCGAAACATGTTAACTAAATTGTCGATGAGATTAAAAATGCAATGAAATTAAGCAGGCATAGGTGGACAGGGAGGTATGAGGCGCACCTGTGGGACAACAGCTGCAAGAAGGAAGGCCAGACCAGGAAGGGCAGGCAAGGTACGGTAACAAATCAATCACAGTGTAACTATCGTTTTAAGTGTGTTATTACTACTAGTGTCATTATTAGGTTAGAGCAAAAAAAAAAACTAACTAATACATCGGTGGTGGTTGAACAAACCGACGTGGTTCTGGCTGTGTGGGGATGGCGGGATATTTACGCGTACGGCTTGTGATCTCTCTCCCCCTGACTGTCACGCTGCAGTTTATCTCGGTAAGCACTCTTTGCCGCACTGCACACACACACACACACACAGTCTCTGTGCTAGCTAGCTGCACTGGCACTGGCAGTGCGTGCGTACACATTGATGCATGGTAAAAGTAAACACATGCTGGTGGTAAAATCTGGGGGTGCATGCATGTGTCGTCGGTATTAGGCGGGTACGACATGGAGGAGAAGGCGGCGAGAGCCTACGACCTGGCGGCGCTCAAGTACTGGGGCCCCTCCACGCACATCAACTTCCCGGTAACTATTCTTGCTTGTTTTCTTTTCCTTTTTACCGTGATGCATGCGTGATAATAGTACTAGCTAGCAGTCGGACTAGGTACCAGTGCTGATCTGAGACGACTGTGTTTATATAATATATGAATAAAATGAAAAAACATAGTAGTGGTGTTTGCCTGCATGCATGTATGCAGCTGGAGGACTACCAGGAGGAGCTGGAGGAGATGAAGAACATGACACGGCAGGAGTACGTGGCTCACCTCAGGAGGTACGTACGTACACACAGTTTGACCTAGCTTGCTACCAAAGTCCAAAGCTGCTGGCTGGCTGTAGTGGGGCATGTTCCATCGATCGATCGATCATCTGAGCAATTGATCCAATATTAACCGCTGCATGCATGGGTGTGGTGTGGTGGGTGCAGGAAGAGCAGCGGCTTCTCACGGGGCGCGTCGATGTACCGAGGAGTCACAAGGTCTGGTCTGAAACTCAAACTCTCTGAATGAATGACCCCGACGACGACGGCTGAACAAACAACAATGTTCAGCCGCAGTTACATACTGCTGCGATATATATATATATTGCCTGCTGACAAACACGGCAAGCGTGATCAATCGATGGATGGATGCAGTAGCTAGCTGTGTATATGTATATATATATATATGGAGCAGCAGCAATGACATGACATGGATGGATGCAGGCACCACCAGCACGGGCGGTGGCAGGCGCGCATCGGCCGCGTCTCCGGCAACAAGGACCTCTACCTCGGCACCTTCAGTACGCATCAACGCCGCCCATCTTCTTCATTTTCCTTCTCTGCATCTGCTCATCTGCCGCACATATATATACATGCGCATTCATCATTCAGTTATACTACATGCAAGCTTCCATTCCATATATACACGCCGCTCTGCAATGCATTCATTATCCATCATGCATTCAGTTATTCGCTCGCACTGCACTGCATGCATGGCATGGAGGAGCCATGGAAATGGCCGGAGACGTCGTCGTCGGGCGGTTTCACGATGATGAGCTCGATCGATCCCGTCGCGCGCCGGCCATTTCGTCTAGACGATCGGCGGCGTCCGATCGAGCTCTGAAAGAGAGTGAGTGAGAGCATGCAGTGCGCGGGCAGCTACGTATTGCGCCGCGCATGCAGTGTGTAGTAGGCAGCTAGCTTAGCTAGATGGGTGGTTCATGCATGCATGCATCCATGGTGGCTGCCTGGCTGGCCATGGTGCTTTTACTCCTCTCATTTCCTTTTGCTTCCTTGCATTGCTTGCTTTGTGGCATGGCCCTCCTCTCTGCTTGCCTGCATCAGCGTCAGCAAGTGTGATTTCTAGCATAGAGAGAGAGGTGAAGATCGCTAGGGGGCTTTTGCATAAGGCTGACATGCCTCTCTTGTTTTTACACTGTCGTGGATCGCATGCGCTGATGGGGCCCTGCACCCTGCACGGAGCCCCCCTTTTCAGTTTTGACCACCGATTCCGTCCGCCGCGCGCGCCCATCATGCCTCCCGCCCGCCACCGGCCGGCTCTCCTGTTCAGATCATTCCTCCATGCACCGTGCATGCATATGCTGACGTGGCTTGGCTAGCCAGTGGAGTACTCCGTACGTTGTTGTGTGCATGGACGACCACGACATGCTTGGCTGTCATCGTCGTCGTCCACTCGCCCTGACCACTGACTCCAACCTGACAACAACGACCGTGCTGCCTGCCTGCAGGCACGCAGGAGGCGGCGGCGGAGGCGTACGACATCGCGGCGATCAAGTTCCGGGGCCTCAACGCCGTCACCAACTTCGACATCACGCGCTACGACGTCGACAAGATCATGGCCAGCAACACGCTGCTGCCGGGGGACCTCGCACGCCGCAGGAAGGACGACGACCCCGCCGCCGTCATCGCCGGCGCCGACGCCGGCGGCGGCGGCGGCGTCACGACCGCGGCGGCGGCGGCCGCCCTGGTGCAGCAGGCTGCTGCCGCTGCCGCTGCTGCAACCGGCGCCGGCGCCAGCGAGACGTGGAAGCTGGCCGCCGCCGCGCCGAGGGATGGAAACCATCACCACCACCACGACGTGCTGTCCGGCGAGGCCTTCTCCGTGCTGCACGATCTGGTGGTCACCGCCGCGGACGGCGGCGGACACCACCACGGCCACGGCGCCGCGGCGCAGCACATGTCCATGTCCAGCGCGTCGTCGCTGGTCACCAGCCTCGGCAACTCCCGCGAGGGCAGCCCCGACCGCGGCGGCGGCCTGTCCATGCTCTTCTCCAAGCCGCCGGCTCCAGCACCAGCCCCGCCGCACGCCGCCAACAAGCCGATGGGCCCGCTCATGCCGCTGGGCTCCTGGGCGTCCACGGCTGCGTCGGCCAGGGCCGCCGCCGCCGTCTCCATCGCGCACATGCCCGTCTTCGCCGCCTGGACCGACGCCTGATCGTATCGATCAGTCGATCGATCCATGAGTGATGACATGGCCGCCGGCCGGCCGGCCGGTTCCACCACGCATGCGCCGCGTCTCCGGCCGATCGACGTACGGTCATCCACCTCGTACCCGGCGGGCCGTTCTAGCTCGGTGCACGTACGTACGCGCGTTCTCGACCGGTTGCGTTGGACTTCTTCAGATCAGTTAGTAGTTAATTTAATTAGGGTTCTTGGAAGGTAGCGAGTTATAATTAGCTAGGTAATAGCCAAGGGAGATTGGTTAGTGAAGCTAGCTAGGCGATATGATGGAAGGGCGGGAGTGCACAGCGCGGCCTCTGCTGTTTCCTTCTTCTCCGGCTCCGTCGGCAGCGGCGACGACGTGGCCGGAGAAGGAGGGGTTTTGTAAAATGGAGGCCGGAGATGACGTGCATCTTCTCCAAAATATATCCAGAACTAATCCACTACTAATGTTAAGTTATAGCGTCTCACTGATTGGTTACTAGCTGCTGTCTTCTTCGAATTCTCGTTTCCTGATTGAGCCGCCAGTTGCATATCGAGCTCTTGGGCTTGAACCCGTCTGAACGACTGACATGTGGGTCCGGATGCAAATTCATCCATCATAATTCACCTACAGAACTACTCCGTACTTGACGCTCCGATCAGTGAACCTGCGATTAAGTGAAAAACGGCCCTCAAGAACACTCCACTCGACTAGGCCTCAACTGGGCTGTGGCCCATAAACTGGGCTTAACCTTATTGAGTTTGCAATGGGCTGGGAATTGAAGTACTATGACTAGGAAACAAAGAACAGATGTGTCGAGTTTATAAACCCGGGGTGCCCAATGAATCCGCTTTCCTACAATACTTGGTCCAGCAGGCGGCGCAGCGACAGCGCGCGTCTAGGCCAGCCCAGATACACAATGACAGGCCGAGACCATGATCCGGTCCCCGACCGACACCTCCGGCCAGTAGATCTAGTTGGAGCCCCGACAGGATGGCCTGCCCGTGGTGGGACCCCAGTCCGACTTTGACTCCCTTTCTTCGACCGAGGGTACGCCGGACCTCTGCTTGCTGCTCTTTCCTGACCAACACGGTCGGGGCCGACTGGGATAGACCGACCGGGGACGCCCGCTCGATGTGGGCCCGGGGAGCAGGCGGAGCAGATAAGGTAAGGCGCTCAAGTGAACCGTAATACCGAGGACCGAACCCTGCCATGCCCTGCGCACCTGCAGGACGGTGCCATCGGGCCATGTCAGACGGACACTGTATAGCCTGTCAGACGCGTCAGAGCATAAATAGTATTGTGGGCGCCGTCGTTTGCCGTACCAGGCGAACACTGTACAGCCTGCCACACGCGTCAGAGCATGAATAGTAGGGTGGGCGATGGCGGCGTAAACAGTATGGCGGGCGACGGCGGCCATCCTGTACCCGATGGCGTGGGCAACAAGACTAGGCAGCGCCTGTATACACACACTCTCTCTCTCTGACTTGTAAAGCCATCCCCTTCAACTATAAAAGGGGATGCGCTCTCTCCTAGGACGGGAGGACTCGAGGACACGACAGCTCAATAGCTCTAGAACTCGACAGCTCAACAGCTCTAGAGCTCAACAGCTACAGAGTCTACATGCTCTCAACAACTGATAAGCTCGGACACACAGAGCATACGCTCCGATACTTAGCGCATGTTTGAGTATCCGTCACTCTCGCCCACTCGGTTCAGAGTCTGACCTGGCCTCTAACACCCCCTTCTCATTTCTTACTCGTTTGTAACCCCACAGCAAACTTCGAGCACCTGAGCTCAGGAATAAAGTCACCGACCGACTGAAACTAGATGTAGGGCACGTTGCCTGAACCAGTATAAATCTTGTGTCTTCGCGTGCTAGAACACATCCAATCACAACGCACGGCAAAACTACAAATATTTATTTGTTGGCCACATTTCGCACCGACAGTTGGCTCCGTCCATGGGGAGAGACGCCGTGCGTTCACGCTTTTGGTCATCGGATGACCCACCTTTCCACCATCTTCGGCATGGCGGGCTCGAGCGATACGATTCGCTTTGGCTCGCTGGAGTTTCTCATGCTCCCACTTACTGGGATGTGGGCTCCTCCCGTCTTCGTGCCACTCCAGACCTTCCTCTTCGGGAGTCTGGACTTCATCGCCGACCAGCTCGGCATACTCCGCCTCCGTGCGGAGGCGCTCGTCCCGGCGTCCACTGGAGGAGGAGTGCCCTCCACCGGCCCCGGGCCACTCGACGACCTCAATGTCTAGACACCCGCGCTTCGCTTCGAGCCCATGCTGGGCTCAAACCCCATGGTGAGTGATGTACATATTGTTCTTTACTCACTGTTTAACACCTTCCGCCAACTCTCTAGAGGGACCCCGTTGTCCCCACCGCAACCGCCGTGCAACTGGTCCCCCTACGGCTTCGCGTCCCCCATGGACGCGTGCGCATGGGGGCTCCGAAGGATGCTGACGCCACCCCCTCTCATGTCTGAGTTTGTGGGGATGGTGGGCTACGCTCCCGCCTCCTTCCATAAACTCGTCGATGACGAGGTCGAAAGCGATGGCTCCAGCACCGGCGACATCATGGCACCAGGCCACCCTCTGTCCCGGGAGTGCGCTATGGCGAACGCCCTAGGACAGCCACCAGAGGTAGTGGAGTCTCTGTAGAGTCACACCCCTCCGAACCCTAGTGCGCAGGCCATGGCGCGTGCGTAGGAGCACGGCGAGAAGTTACAACAAAGGAGGCAGAGCCAGCCGCTCCCTGCGCCAGCACGCCTGGCGCATCACGCTGTGCCACATGCGCATAACCCAGTGAGCGACGCTCGGGGTCGTGCCTGTCAGGTCCAGCATAACATCCTGAACGGAGGGGATGATCCCCCTCAGTTTGCTAGGCCTGGCTAGAACATCACTGCTGTGGCGATGCTTCTGCGTGGCCTCTCCGAGCCTGTCGACCCCTAGGAGCAGGCGATCCACCGAAACCTCCGGGCGCTGGTGGAGACCGCCACCGTTCAGTAGGTGGAAAGCTCCGCGTCGCGACATCGGCACGCGGTTGTAACACCCGGTTTCAAGGACAAAGCCGAATGCACACCATATGTGAGCCCTGGAAATCAAATCTCACATATAGCTACAAATGAAGGGCAGTATCAAATCGTAATGCTTAATATATAGCGAACTTAGCAAAAGAGATAACCTTAGAAAACAATCAACGGATAGACAACTCTGATCCCCGGGTGCAGACTTCACTCCACTGGATCCAAACTGACTGGTTGATCACAAGCCTAACTTCTCAAGTCTCTGACAAACTGTTATCCGGCCCGAGGTGTGGGGAAATTGCAAGAGTGAGTCCATGTCGAACTCAAAGCAAATATAGCAACAAGGTAGTGTATTCCATAACCACATGATTAAAGTATAATTGAATAATAAATATCTTAAACAATTGACATAAATGATCATCTTAACAAGTAAAAGTCATCATCCCTTATGTAAGGGTTCCAAGGCGCTTCAGATCCGTGAGCACGGCTAGTATACCATTTATTAAACTCTGCAGAGGTGTACACTTTCACTTTGTGAGTCATGATTTGCCCTTTCGCCGAGGTGATCAGCCTCTTAACCCACTACCAAGGAAGATCGGCGGGGTTCACTATGAAGCCTTTCAAAGGTTCCGCTCTAACAAGGAAGGGCCAGTAGGTCATCGGATATAGGAACCCCCTTCCAAAAAAATAAAAGGCCGCTTCCATAGCTAGGCTCAACAGGACAGAGGCTGTCCTATACCCAACTCGCAGTATCCTCTAAGCCGGCTAGAAAAAGACCTCATACTGAGCTAAAGCCAGAGCCATATAGCCCTCACAGCTGTACTGTAAGTCCCGGATGATCACTTACAAGACAAGTCCTTATGTTGCTAAAAAGTCATCTTGTTTATGTTTATAGCATATTCATTAATCAAGTTTCAAGATCATGGTCACAGAAAGAAAACCCAAGCTATACTTGCCTTTAAACTCTTATCTTCTTTTCTTGTAGCCAAAACCTTCAGTAAACTTCTTCTTGATCTCCAACTTCTTATAGATCACCAACGCAAAATTCATCGACTGGACAAGACCGAAAAGCACCACACAAGCATCCGAACAAGCATGCATAGCAAACATACTAGATTAGAACAATACACCAATCAATGAAAAGATTCGAAATCTAATCTACGCATTGCTACGATCACACACACGCGAAAGGCACACTAATCGAAGCTACGGTAAAACAGAAACATCTATCGAACGATTTACGTTGGAAAGAAAACTATATGCTTTATCTATTTTAATGATCATAAAACATGTATAAGATATATCAGGTGAATATCTAAAATTGAGTTAAGTCATTTTATAATTGAGTTATTAGATTTAGAAAACTAAGATAAACTATTCATATCTTAATTATAGTTATTTTGATATCATTTATGCAAATTAAATTTTTGACTTACAAAGATATAATAACAAGTGAGAGTATATATTCAAAACATATATAGCACGTATAAGCCCTAGCATTTATTATTTTTAAAAGGAAAACCAAAATGATGTAAGCATTACATCAGTTTAGGATTTATCAATGGAATAATTAATAATGTATTAAGGAGCGGATGTGCATGTATTATTTAATCAAAATAAACTTTAACTTTTCAAATTAAAAGAACATGTAAGAGCATCTACACTATAACTGAATATGACGTGAGTTCAGTTAAACCAATTATAATCAAAACATATATTTAAATCGATATAACCAGTTTAATATTCATTTATTAAGGCCGACGTGGAAAACCTATATTGCTTTTAATTAATTTAGAAAGCTAGTTGCACATTAATTAGATTTACAATAATTTATAAAAGGCCGAAGTATATACCTATGTTACTTTTAATTAGAAACTCAATTGCATAAGCACAAATCAAATTAATATTTACTTATAAAATTCAAAGATGTGAAACATGATAAATTTTCCTACTAATGTGTACCTCAAGATCAGCA